GACACCACACCACTTCGCTTCACATCGCTATGCTGATTCGCTCCTCCTGATTGGTCGACACTGATGCTGAGATGGGGTCATGAGGGGTCTTGAATGTATAAATGCCTACAAATACGAGTGTGAGTAGAAGCAGGAACGGCGGTGCTGCCTGCGCAGTGGTGTGGCCTGTGTTGTGGTCGTGTCGAGCTGGTTGTATGCAACTCAGATGCCTATCAGTTTTTCGGAGGGGACAGCTTTTCAGATCACACTCAATACTTCCACCCTTCAACGTGGAGTAGGATGAGGGAAATTTCCAAGTTGACTGGAAAAGCAATGCAGGCCACATTCACAATATCTATCCGTCCATATACGCCTCCAGAGCAGCAAGCGATCGGAACCAGTGGGAGGCACGTGGAATGATGAGGGCTCGCACCGCATGTGCGTGAGTGCTGGATGATGTGGATACAATGCGAGCACATCCAGCGAGTAGAGGGAAGAGTACTGACAGAAGAGGAGAGTGAACATTTGTAGCTTTGCCGTGTATTGTCAAATGCAAGTGTTTGGGAAAGGAGTTCCTCGCCCTGTTTTTGGCATCTCCAACTACCGCAGGTGGATTCGGTGGTGATGAGACTGTCATTACATTCGTTCACGGACTTGGCGTTTCCAACTGCGTGCTGTCACCATGTTAAAGGGGCTTTTCCTATTTTCTGTCTCTGTTAAAATTTCCCCACTAGGTACGAGTCCCTCTTTCACTTAACGTCGGGCGTGAGGATAAGTTTGCCATTGCTAGCACTGGCAACAACATTAGTGCTTAGAGAAGGTTCGGTGCCTGCATAGGCAGCGACGCTTCTACCTTCCCATTACCTTCTACTCTCTCTGTCCCCTTGTCCCACCCTCCACACGTGTTTGTGGAATGAAGTGCAGTTAAATGAGGAGGGAAGGCGAAAATAAACTCCTTTTGCTTATGCCTCTTCCTCATTACATTCCTCCACTCCCTCCATCCAACTTGGTCTGTTTGATCACTTTTTTTGTGGATCGGGATGTTTGAGTCGGCACTGTGACAAATGGATGAATGTTCAATACCGTCAGTGTAGAAAGCGTCAGCCTGTAGTCTTGGTGACTGTGATTTTGCCGTTACTCAGAAATTGCTATTCCATTGTCTACTTAAATTTGTAATGGTAGGTTGAAAGCGAAAACAAATATTGTTATTCAAATGTCTGTCTACCTGACATGACTATGGCAGCCTGTTTCAGAGCATTGTTCGTTTGCCGTCGGTAAGGAGGTGGTTTTGCGTGCACTGATTGCATGTCTTTTCTTTCCGCCATTACAGTCGGAGACCACTTCAACAAAGAAGAGTAAGAGATTGAAGAAGGAAGTAGAGAGTGAGGAGGTGGACACTCCACCGGATTTTTACTTGAAATCTGCCAAATACTGGAGCGGCGTGGACGCGACAGTGAATGGGATGCTGGGTGGCCTGACCCAGGTGCATTGGCCCGACATTGTTGGCTCGAGGTATATCCTCGCCCGCTTTGTTCCAAGCCTGCGAGAGTGTGCGTTGGACTGCGGAGCGGGCATCGGACGCATCACAAAGCACCTTCTGCTGCCCTACTTCACTACCGTAGATATGGTGGATATGACAGGCAAGTTCCTCGACGCCTCCTCAGCCTACATTGGTCGGCCCAACGCGGACCGTGTTGGCAACCGATTTTGCTGCCCGCTGCAGGACTTCACTCCGCCAGAGGGACGCTACGATATAATTTGGGTGCAATGGGTCATCGGACATCTGACACTGTCTGCATCAGCCAAATTTCTTCGACGCTGCGCGGCCGCACTGCGACCCTGCGACTCGACAGCCACAAGCACAGCCACAGTCCCAATTCGTCGATCAATAATTGTGCTGAAAGACAATGTTTTTTCAGGTGCTAAGTCACGCTTCCGTGAGGTGGAAAGCAGCTTTGTACGAACGCATGACGAGTTGCTGGAGGTATTTCGAAAGGCGAAACTTCGAGTGTTACTGGATGAGAGGCAGACAAACATGCCATCCTATATTCGTCCGATTTATGCCTTTGTGTTAGTTCCTCAGGCCGAGTAGAACGTCTGTCTCGGTGACGACTGTGTCTGTACATGTTTGCATACAGAAGCATGCCTTGTTTATCAATTAGTTGGGTTGACTCTAGCAAGGAGAGAAGCGGTCACCCAGCACGAAGCTCGAGGCTACTGCAGCCTCGTGAGTAGGGAATGGGACAGGGTCAAGTAAACCAAGGTGGGATCATGACGCGTCCAACCTCCATTGGCTAATTGCTGCGACCTGATGCTCGTAAGTGTCCCGACTGTGTGAGAAGGTAGGAGGGAATTTGGATCAGGAGTTTGTCTTCCTGTTATGACGCGGCAGCGTACAAGAAGGAATTTGACACGAGTACTGTCAAGTTAATCACTCTTTTGGTCTATTTAGACATCTACCATGCATCGGTCTTTTCGCACAATTAGAGCTTGGAGTGCACTATTCCTCTCCTTTAGCCTCTTACCTCGCGGATGCCCTGTTCCGCCCAACCTTCTTTCTCCATGCGCTCGCTGATGAGCAGGCTTTACTAACTCATGCCCGAACAAGCGAGGAAGGGCAGCACGATGTTGTGCAAAACAAGATGATAAACCCAAAAGCGACACTTTATTTTGGTATGATGTGTCAGACAAAGCACACGGATCGGGTAGACCTCAACTACCACTCACGTCTGCTCCCCTTGAATGTGGCGACTACAAGTTGTACAGCAGAATGGACGCATTCCATAGCCACCGCTTATCCGCATGTGCTGCTTGCTATTTTGGATCGGCAGACATCAGTGACGAAGACCGGAAATCGCGCAAGGCAACCCAATTCCCACGAATGACTTTGAGACGGAAAATGAGGCCGAAACAACGAGATCACCTCCTCCTACAAATACTTGTATTTGACGCTACACAGCGAAGCAGCAGATGTCTACACTTTCTATTCAGTCACTACTTTCGCCACTTCGCACAGATTGTGCACATTATGTAGCCACATCCTCCGACACGCATACATATGCAGTGTGGACGCACACCATTCCATGTTCCTTCCAGTGGCGCCACTTAATATCACTCAACTACTATATAATTATGGGGTTTTGCTACATT